TTCAGAGATGGCCTAGACCTACCTCTCCAACTGTTAGAAGGATTTTATTAAGTTTCACTTGATAATATAGGAGATATCTTTAGGGGATTTCATTTATCTTATATCCTTTGACCAAGCTGATTCAAAAAACAATTAAGTTTTAATAGTCTGAAGCTTGTGAGAAAATCTTTTAAGAGTTGAAAAAGAGGTTGGCTACTGCTCCAGTCTTGACTTTACATAGGGTACTCAAGATTTTGTGGTGTATTGTGATGCCTTAACAGTTGGTTTTGATTGTGTGTTAATGGAGAATCGAAATATTATAGTTTATGCCCCAGACAGTTGAAGGTCAATGAGAAGAATTATCCAACCCATGACTTAGAGTTGGTTGGTGTAGTTTTTGCCTTGAAATTAGGTTGTCACTACTTGTATGGTGTGTAGACACGTAATTTTTACCGAATTTAAGTTTAACACCAATTTTTAGAGCATAAATAATTTTATCAATATATTTTGATAAGTTTATTTAAAAGATATTAGAATAAACAACATAAATATAATTTTTATTAGATAAGTTTATTTTGATTGTTAAAAAACAAAGATATATATATATGTATATATATTTCATATATTATTTAAATAAACTAATATTTCTTAATTATATTTTTTTTAATTACCCATTTAGCTTTATTTATTTATTTACTCAAAGCAATTATTAATTATATAATTATCATTTTATATATATATTTAATATTAAAAAATAATAATAATAAAAAATAAATCCACGATCCCATGACGCACTCCCCACTCGCCATTCACCATTCACACCACACGTACACACATATACAAAACACAAACAAAAAGGGGAGAAGGGGAGGATCAGAAGAAAAAAGAAAGAAAAACCGTGAAAAGAAAAAATACACACAAAAAGAAAGAGACTCTCCCACAAACAAAAAATCAGTAAATATATTCACATATTTTGCTTTGACTCACAAACAAAAGTTGAAGTTGAGATTTACTTTCGCGGTTCCTTATTCGAATTGTTTTCTTTTGGTGAAATTTTCGCAAGAGGTACCATTTAATTATTTTTTTAATAATTTAATATCATGTTATACAAACATTGATTGCAATATATTAAAGTTGTCAAATTTCACATGTGGTTAAACCGTTATGTTTTTTATATGAAGTTTGTTCAAATATTTCATATCAACTTTATGTTTAGATCCTCTATATAGTTATATTTTGTGTGAAATTGCTATAACAAACCATAGTTTATTTCATATAAAATAACTCATGGTTTATTTCATGCTTAAGTAAAATTATTGTCCAAGTCTATTCTTATTTTTCATGTTTAGTTTTTAATGATAATATGTGTAGTTATTATGGTTCTAATGATAATATGCATAGTTATCCAAATTTTTATATTCATGTCTTACTAAGTTCAATAAATTCTTTGTTTGGTTGTGTTTAGAAATGTATTAAATTATATTTTATATTATATTATGTATGTTGTCTTACATTAGTATTTTTAGATTCTTTTTAAAATAATAATAATAAACTTGTTAGGATAAGAAGAGGATAATAAACTGAAAGAAATAAGAAAAAAAATAACAATAAAATGGAATAAGGAAAAGAGGTAAAATACGTGATGGAAGAACATCTGAATAAGAAAAAGAATAATAGAAAAAAAGTATAATTAGAAGAATAAAGACAATGTACATGAAAAAATAAATTTAATAAAAAATACTGCAAAAATAAAAAGAAACAAAAGTATAGTGTTAAAAAAATAATAAAATATTTTAGTATGATCAATTAAAAAACTCAACTATTTAAAAAAAAGGGGTAAGAAAAGAAAAAGAAGAAAAATCAATGTAAAAACCAAAAATATAAAATAAGGAAAGTTAAAAAAAAACGTGAAAAATTAGTACAAAAGAAATAAGAAGAGAGAAAAAAAATACAATAAAAAATAAAATAAAAGAGAAAAATTAAGAAGCAGACAAATGTTGAAAGCCTGAAAAAATAAATAAATAATTAATAAAAATGTGTAAAAACTTCACATGTTTATAAAATAGTACAGTTTTAAATATGTTAATATATACCAAAGAGTGAAGGTAAAAATATTTGTCTTAATAATATAATATTCAAAAATTAGTTTAAGTTATAAAAGTCCATAAAGTGACCGTGCTAGAACCACAGGACTCGAGGGATGCCTAAACCTTCCCCTCGGTCAATAGAATTCCTTACCCGAACTGGTTAGCAGACCAAACAAAGAGTCATTTCCTTTTGATTAGGATTAAATAAAAAGTGACTTGGGACACCGTAACTCAATTCCAAGTGCCGACTCTGAAAAAAAACTAAAATTATCCCCTAAATAATAACGTCACTTAAATTGGAAAAACTGTTACGTCGCTGCGCGAAAAAGGGGTGTGACATCTCTGGCGACTCTGCTGGGGACTTGAATTCGAGCTTGTAAACATGGACTTTTACATGACTTTATTAAGTATTTACATACTCATCTATTTGTGGATATTATGTTTAATGGCATAATATGTTATTTGCTTGCTTATTTACCCTTCTGATAATATGTGAATTATAATATAACTATCTTTCCTTGCGCATCCATCTAAGTCTTCTGAGATGCTTTATTCGGAGATGCGATTACGCTCCCGAGCCATGAGATACCAGAGATGCGGTAATGCTTTTGGGAAGGATTCTATAGTAACACATGTCTTAGGATGGGAAGGACTAACAATGAGGCCAGAAAGCCCTGCTACTGGTAAGTTGTCCTTTCTCGACTTGAGTAGTCCGCTCATTTTATGGCCAGTCTAGACACCTTCCCTATTAGATTGTTTACCTAGTAAAACAAGCCTCAACAATGACTATCCCTAATAGGATTCGATTTATCTGCATCATTCATAATGTTAAATTAATGGGGAGCTCGATACAGGGGTCGAGTCTGTCTAGGAGAAGCATCCCTACTTGAGATTATCATGTACATTATTTGTGTTATTTGTTGCATTATTAGGAAGACTATACAAATGTTGATCGGCTTTAGATGAATGAATTATAATGAAAAATTAATTATAATGAAAAATATCAAATTAAAGTTTTGACGTAATCCTTTTATTAAACACAATTTTTCTATCAAAATTCATATTTCTTTTACAAATAGAAAAATCTATCATTACCATCAAAGTTTTTGTTATATAAAAAAAGATTGAAAATTTAATCAACAAAAAATAAATACAATCGAATATACTAAGGGCTATTAATATACATACATATATATATATATTCTCCCTCTTCCTTTAATAACCATTTTTTTAAAAATAAATAAAATAAAAAATAAATAAATAAAAATTGAAAAGAATAAAAATGTTATGTCCCGATGGAATTAAGGAAACCTAAAAATGACCAAATACAAATAAAGAGTCTGGCCACTGAAGGAGAGGCAGAGGAATTTCTAAGAAAGATGAAACTATCAGACTAATCCATGGTGGAACAATTAAGAAAAACTCCAGCCCAAATCTCTTTGTTGTCTTTAATAATACATTTTGATGAACATCGTAAGGCTGTAATGAAAATTTTGAATGAAGCACATGTTCCTAGTAAAGTTACAGTGAGTCAGTTAGAGAAGATTGGTGGGAGAATATTTGAGGTAAACCGCATCACCTTTTCAGATGATGAACTACCCAAAGAAGGTACAGGACATAACCGAGGCCTACATATCACTGTAAAGTGTGAGCTTTCATATGTCACTTGAGTTCTAATTGATGGAGGATCTGGAGCAAATATTTGTCCTTTATCAACTCTACAAAAATTGGATTGTAGTGCTAAAAGGGTCCAACCCAACAATGTATGTGTTAGAGCTTTTGATGGGTCAAAATCAGTGTCATTGGTGAGATAGAGCTCGTACTAACCATTGGGCCTGTAGATTTTGCTGTGAATTTTCAAGTGTTGGATATCAACGCGTCCTACAATCTATTGTGCGGGAGGCCATGGGTGCATAAGGCTGGAGCAGTCCCCTCAACGTTGCATCAAATAATTAAGTTTGAATACGACCAACAAGAAGTGATTTTTCATGGTGAGGGGGATTTGTAAATCTACAAAGAATCTTCCTACCCTTTTATCAAGGCGAATAATGAGAATGAGACACTAGTTTATCAAGTTTTCGAGGTAGTGGTTATTGAGCATGTCCCCGAGGGGAGTGTCATTTCAAAACCAAAGATGTCTATTGCGTCTGTAATGGTGGTGAACGAATTGTTGAAACATGGTTTTGAGCCGGGTAAAGGCTTAGGAATCTGCTAGCAAGGGAGAGCTTATCCATTGAGTCTACGAAAGAGCATCGGTACTTTTGGATTAGGCTACCAACCTAGAATCGAGGAAAAAGTGAAGGCAAAGAATAAGAAAAGAGATGTATGGTCACTTACCAAGCCTATACAACCAATCTACAAATCTTTCATCAAAGCCCGTGCAATAGAATCTTAACAATCATCTTTTCCAGAGCCAGTGATGAAAGTAAGTGAAGAAATGGTCAACTATTTTCAAGATTTATTTGTCGAGGTTGATATGATGGAACATGGAGAGGGCACTAGCGACAGAGATGTGCAATTCATTGGTCCTGATGTCAACCTAAACAATTAGGAGGCCACCCCTCTCCACGTTAAAGACGAGTCTTGGTAGTCTGTCTTGTTTTTTCTTTTGTCGGGTCCGATTCATTCAATGATTGTAATTCGGATTTTATCTTGTCGTTTTATTTCAAACATTCTATTTCCCTTTTCAATAGGATGTAATTGCATCGTTATTTCAGTCTAATATATTTATTCATTTTCTTTTATACAGTTTTTTCTATGCCGATTCTAGTAATATGACATGCATGCAAAATTTTTTGCAAGATGTTAATATCCAATCTAATCTTCGACCTAATATTGAAATAATAAGTCAAGAAATCGAATATGATGAAGAAAGAGTATTTGAGGAAGTAAGGAGGGATTTCAATCATTTTTGAAAATAAGTCAAATCCAAACATGAGTGAAATTGAGACGATAAATTTGGGGGATCAAGAAATTATTAAGGAGACTAAGATAAGTGTACATGTTCGACATCAAAAGGATGATATAATCCAGGCCCTGTTTGATTACAAAGATATTTTTGCGTCATCTTATGATGACATGCCTGGATTAAGCACTGACATGGTTGTTCACAAGTTGCCAATTGATCCTAATTTTTCTCCGATAAAGCAGAAGTTGAGAAAACTCAAAATCGACATGAGTGTAATAATTAAAGAGGAGATCACAAAACAACTTGATGCCAAAGTCATTCAAGTCTCTCAATATCCTTCTTGGTTAGCCAATATCGTACCCGTCCCTAAGAAAGACGGCAAAGTTCAAATGTGTGTTGATTATTGTGATTTGAATAAGGCAAGTCCAAAAGATGATTTTCCTTTTCCTAACATCCATATTTTATTGGATAATTGTGATAAACATGAGGTTTGACTCTTTTGTGGATTGTTATGCAGGCTACCATCAGATTTTTATGGATGATGAAGATGCAGAAAAAACATCTTTTATCACTCCATGAGGTACATATTTTTATCGTGTTATGCCTTTTGGATTAAGAAATGCAGGGGCAACTTATATGAGAGCAACGACAACCATTTTTCACGATATGATGCATAGTGAAATCAAAGTTTATGTGGATGAGGTTATCATTAAATCCTAAAAACAGTCAAATCATGTGAAAGACTTAAGGAGATTCTTCGAAAGGCTCCGCAGGTATAATCTCAAGCTCAATCCTGCAAAATGTGTATTTGGAGTATCATCGGGGAAGCTTTTGTGGTTTATAGTCAGTCGAAGAGGTATCGAGTTGGATCCTTCAAAAATAAAAGCAATTCAAGAATTGCCACCTCCAAAGAACAAAACTGAGGTTATGAGCCTTCTAGGAAGGTTAAACTACATCAGCAGATTCATTGCTCAACTCAAAACAACTTGTGAGCCTATCTTTAAGTTGTTGAAAAAGAATTCCACAGTCGAGTGGACCGAAGAATGTCGAGAAGCTTTTGAAATAATTAAGAATTACCTGTCTAATCCCCTGTGTTGGTTCTTCCCTAGCCGGGAAGACCTTTGATATTGTATATGTCAGTACTGGATAATTCTTTTCGTTGAGTACCGGGTCAGCATGATGACACTAGGAAGAAAGAGCGGGCAATTTATTACCTCCGCAAGAAGTTTACCATTTAGGAAGCGAAGTACACCCTTCTTGAAAGAACGTGTTGTGCCCTAACTTGGGTAGCACAGAAATTGAAACATTATCTTTCATCTTACACTAATTATCTCATCTCTCGCATGGATGCGTTGAAATATATTTTTCAAAAAAGCCCATGCCCAGAGGCAGGTTTGCGAAATGACAAATATTGCTCACAGAGTTTGACATTATCTATATAACGCGGACCTCAATGAAAGCTCAAGCATTGGCAGATCATTTGGCAGAGAACCCTATTGATGAAGAATATGAAACACTTAAAACCTATTTTCCACATGAAGAGATATCTTGTATCGATGAAGTTATTCACGATAATGATCAAGGTTGGAAGTTATTCTTTAATGGTGCCTCTAACAGGAAAGGAGTTGGAATAGGAGTTGTTCTTATGTCTGAATCAGGGGAATATTACCCTATATCAGCCCAACTTAGATTCTATTGTACTAATAATATGTCTGAGTATGAAGCGTGCATTCTGGGTTTGAGGTTAGCTGTTGACCTTCCAAGAATTGTTAGTGTTAGGAGACCTTAGACTTACTAGTTCATCAAATTCAAGGAGAGTGGGAAACTCGAGACCCAAAGCTCATACTATATCAACAATGTTTACAAGGTCTTTTTCAACGATTTGTGTCTATAAAGTTTAGACACATTCTTAGAATGCACAATGAGATTGCAGATGCATTGGCCACTTTATCTTCGATGCTCCAACACCCTGATGATGCCCATATTGACCCATTATACATACAAATTCGTGATCAACACGCTAATTGCAAAATGATTGAGGAGAAATTTGATGGTAAGCCTTGGTTTCATGATATCAAAACATATCTTCAGTCTGGGCAATGTTTGTCAGATGTAGCCAGTAATAAAAAAAACTATTCAACGATTAGCAAGGGGTTTTTTCTTAAGCGAAGGCATAATGTACAAGAAGACACCTGATTTAGGTCTTCTAAGGTGTGTAAATGCTCAAGAGGCTTCCACAATCATGATTGAAGTAAACTCAGGAGTGTGTGGACCTCATATGAATGGATATGTTCTAGCCAAGAAGATACTTTGAGCAGGATATTATTTGCTCACCATGGAGCGGGATTCCATATGATTTGTTTGTAAATGTCATGAATGTCAAATACACAGTGATTTAATACATTCTCCCCCTTTTGAGTTGCATGCAATTCTGCTCCATAGCCTTTTGTGGCACGGGGAATAGATGTGATTGGACCGATAGAACCAAAAGCATCGAATGGTCACAGGTTCATCTTGGTGGCCATTGATTATTTTACAAAGTGGGTGGAAGCAGTAACTTTCAAGTCAGTGACCAAGAAGGTCGTGGTGGATTTCATCCATTTCAACATCATCTGTCGGTTTGGTATTCCAAAGGTGATTATAACTGACAACACTACAAATCTCAACAGCCACTTAATGCAAGAGGTATGCTACCAATTTAAGATTGAGCATCGAAATTCGACTCCGTATCGCCCAAAGGCAAACGGGGCTGTAGAAGCAGCTAACAAAAATATGAAAAATATACTTGATAAGATGGTGCAAAGTTCTCGACGATGGCATGAAAAGTTGCCTATTTGCTTTGTTGGGTTATCACACTACAGTCCTTACGTCAGTGGGCGCTACCCCATTTTCACATGTATACGGGACTGAGGCAGTTATACCTGCAGAAATTGAAATCCCATCTTTACGAATTGTTGTGGAGGCTGAAATTGATGATGATGAGTGGATAAAAACTCAATTAGAGCAATTAAGTTTCATTGATGAGAAGCGTGTGACATCAGTATGTCATGGACAATTATATCAGAAAAGAATGTCACGGGCATACAACAAAAAGGTGCATCCCATACATTTTGAAGAGGGTCAATTAGTGTTGAGACACATTTTGCCACATCATGCTTAAACCAAAGGCAATTTTTCTCCAAATTGGAGAGGACCATTCGTTGTTAAAAGGGTATTACCCAATGTTGCTTTTTACTCAGCAGATATAGAAGACAAAGTGACAGAAACGGTCGTCAATGCTGATACTGTGAAAAGATATTACATATGATTGAGTTTCGACATTAGAAACCCTTATGTTTGGGCTCGACATTTCAAGGGTTGATTCAATGGAATCTCTTGTTTATGCTGTTTCCTTGACTTTTCAAAAAAAAGACAAATTGCATGAACTACGTTTGACCTGATTCTTGTTTCGGCAAGATACGTAGGCAGCCCTAATATTGGGTTCGGTTCAACCAAATACAATTCCAAAACTTCATATTATAGTATACTGGGGCAAAATTCGTTTATTAATTCATTCGGTATCTCATCTCAAAGCTCAAAATCAATCCCATCATCTTAAGTAAAAAAAAATTCTTTTCATCAACCCTTGATATGTCGAGAGTAAGTCGGTTAAGGGTAGGTAAAAATCCTGAATGGGCGCCATAAGACAAATGTGAGTAAAAAGAAATAAAAATGAGAGAGACTTATTGGTGAAAACCGTAAGTGGGCACCGTAAGGCAAAAAGGAGTTGAAAATCAAAGAGTCTTATTGGTGAAAATTATGACATGTACCATAAGGCAAACGTGAGCTAAAGCAATTAACATGATAGAGTTTCAGTGGCAAAGACCTTCGTGAATATCACAATGTCAATAAGAGTTCAAATTATTTATGGCTTCATTAAGTGTTGGGATTCCACATCAAGATTGAATAATCAATAATGGTTGAGGAATAGATTGGATAGCCAAGTTTGGAAATCAATTCAAATTGCATGGCATGATCAGTAGACTCGGCTCCCACACTCAGATAAGTTTTTCATTCTTTTTCTTACAAAAAAAAGTCTTCATTGAATATTTTTTTTATTCTCATATAGTTCGTAATTTTCTTATACTTTTTTCATCACTTTTTTGGTATGTATTTGAGTCGAGTCTTTGTCAAAAAACTAAGAAGGAATTTCAAGACTCGCTACCAAGTCTCGAAACGGTACAAGGAAAAGCATCAGGCTACTAAGTTAATCTGTCTTCAAGTATTGAATTCGAAAATTCTCTGATCCTATGAAGGCTAAACAATGAGTGTTATAAGATAATGACATTAGATTTAGGTCCCAAAATAAGAAAATTTGGATGAAAGTACTATCAATCAATAAGAAGTATTGACCGTTGGAAACAACCAAAACTTCATAAGTGTTTGAGCCGCCCTTGTCGAAAGATGGAACCACAAACAAACCACCACCTTTTCAAACTCACAAATTTTCTTTGTTGAAGAAGGGACACAAGTTGTTTCAAGATTGAGGATTCGAGGAACCTAGATGTTCAACCTAGTCTGCAGCTAGCGAAATTGAAACCCTACAATAAAGACTTGTGGAATATTATATGAAAGTGGAATAATATATATCAAAATATCAATTACTTGAATGTTGGAATATTTATTTTATTTATTATTATTATTATTATTATTATTATTTTTTCTCCTTGAAGGAACTTCCAAATAATGAAGATAGCATTCACAATGTTTCGTTGGTATTATTAGTTTGTTGAAAATTTTATTAGCAGGACCCTCCTGGATAATGGGACTAGCATGACTCTCCTGGATAATGGGATTAGCAGGACCATCCTGGATAATGGGACTAGCTGGACCCTCCTAGATAATGGGACTAGCTGGACCCTCCTGGATAATGGGACTAGCAGGACCCTCCTGATTAATGGAATTAGCAAGACCCTCCTGGATAATGGGACTAGCAGGACCCTCTTGGATAATGGGATTAACATGACCCTCCTGGATAATGGGACTAGCAGGACCCTCCTAAAATAATGGGATTAGCAGGACCATCCTGGATAATGGGACTAGCAGGACCCTCCTGGATAATGGATTAGCAGGACCCTCCTGGATAATGGGACTAGCAGGACCCTCCTAGATAATGGGACTAGCAGGACCCTCCTGGATAATGAGACTAAAAGGACCCTCTTGGATAATGGGACTAGCAGGACCCTCCTGAATAATGGGATTAGATTACTTTCTCATAGGATTAACACTTCCTAGTCTAAATTTTTAGTTTTATTTTCTCCTGAAATAAACACTTCCCAGCCGAAGTTTATGTTTTATATTTATATTTTCTAATAACTCACAAAAAATTTTCCCAGTGAAAACTGGGGAATTTATTTTTTTTGGTGGTGGTTCTAAGGTTTTCTCAAGCGAGACCTGGATTTGAAATTCAAGAACAAAGTTTCAAATTTTTTAGAATAATCAATTCCATGATGGTTAGAATTAGCTTCTTCAATGCATGTAGCAGCCTGACTTCCACACATCTTTTACTAGTCGACTTTTGATCAAGAAAACACACATTCATTCAAGAGAATTTTTCATATTGTCATTTTGAAGAATGTCAAATGTTCCGTCTAAGTGGCAAGTTCAGCCTCCATTACAATTCTAAGTTAAGATATTCACTCAAAAATCAAGGTGATATCTTAAAGTCAAAATTCAAGTGAAGATTCAAGAAAAGCTGCGTGGATAGAAGTTTGTACATTTGTTTTTCTTTTGACTAATAGTTTTCAATTTTTATGTAAGGATAAGAGCTGTGATCTGGAGCCTCAATGGAACCTCACTTAACTTCCAACTCATCACTTTATCTCCTCGAACTACAAGTGGCCTGATTCCCTTATCATCCGGGATATGTAGGATGTCCAAACAAGGACTCGGTCGCACTAATTTTTGTCTTTCAAATAAGAGTTCGATCAAAACTTGTTACTTTGTCTACTTCTTTGTCTGAAAAACTCTTCATGTTTCCAGTCAAAGAGGGGCAAACTGTAAACACGTAATTTTGACTGAATTTAAGTTTAACACCAATTTTTAGAGCATAAATAATTTTATCAATATATTTTGACTTTTTTTTC